ACATTTCTGCACCTGAATACTACTGTTACTGACTTTATTTGTAACTGTGTTATGTTGTATTCCTCAATGCTTGTAATTTGTGTAATTGTTCTTGTTTTATTACTAACTTTATTAGTTAAGCTAGTATTTTGTGCTGTGGTATAGAAGTACTTAAAGTAAGCTTTCACAAATGTATTTATTCAATTTTTTTGCTGATCTTTGACTCAAAATACGTAATATGATCCGATCCGTGAGTTTTGTGATCCGTTGCACCACTGATATATATATATATATATATTAAAAATGCTAAAAAATAAAGTGAAATCAAATAAATTAAATATAAATATAATTACAGATATGATAAAAGAACTAAAATGAATATGAAAACTGAAAAATGTTCTATAATAGTATATAAATAATATCAATAAAGCTGTTCCTGTTAGCAAAGCTAGCATAAGCTTCAGTAATTACTAATTTATCAACCATTTCCGTCAAATTAAGTCAAGTCAGTCACACTCTAACCTAATTTGTCACTTTTTCATATTAAAAAGGGTTTAATACAATGCATATCCGTACTGTAATTAATAAAAAAAAGCTTCAAAAGCTACCATACTAGCATATGAAAAATATTAGTGTTTGCATATAAACAACAATTTTTCTGTGCTATCTGACCATATTAACAGCATACATTATATATTTACAACTACAGGTAGATCCATGCACTTATGTTATTAAAAAAAAAAGCTGCATTATTAAACACACATATACAAGACAGGATCTCCAAACACTGAGCTGAAGACAAAACACTGCTGGTGCACAAACACCACACCGCACTCACGTCTCCAGCAGCGCTGCGTGCAAACAGAACGGCTGTGACAGACCAGACATCACAACACATTAGCTGAGCTCTGAATCACTCAATGCCAAAGACTACAGCATTTCAATAACACATTAAACATGACTCTGCACTCACTCTTTGTGCTTCAAGGAAACATTTTAGGGTTCAAAATCAGGTTTGGTTTTAGTAGTTTTGATGGGTTGATGTATTATTGACGATCAGTACTAAATGAAGGAGCATCATTTGTGATTAGCTGTCCTCTGACAAACCATAAAAGTTAAAAAGTTAGCTGGGATTCTCTGGCTATCTCCAAACGCTGCCATATACAAACAGCTTGCCTTAAATACACACTGTAGAGCAATTATCAATAATATGTTACATATTTTACACACAAATAAATAAATATATAAAATATATAAAATTAATAAAAAAGGAAAAAGCATAATTACTACTACACAGTGTTATTTTAGAATCAAGGTACTATTATACTTTTTATTAGTAGTTTGAATTAGTTTAAATTTTTATACTTCTCATTTTAATGTAATTTTGTTGTGTGTTATTATTATTATTATTAATTTATTTTTTAATGTCTATATTGTTTTTTGTATTATTTTTATTTCATTTTTAGTTTTAGCTCTTTTAGCACATCAAGTTAAACTAAACAAAACAAAAAATGGCAGAAATAAGACATGTTTTTTAAAAATTAATTTCAGTTAAGATTTTTTTTTTGTTGTTTGTTTGTTAACTATAATAACCCTGCTTGTTTATTAAGTGCAATGATACAAACAATATTTTATTATTTTATAAATGTATAAAATAATATTTTAGAATTTTATGATTTAATTTTTTTTAATTAATATAATTTATGTACTGTTATTTATTATTTTTTTGTGTGTGTGTACATGGGTCAAAGACGAAAAATGGTTTAAGCATAAAAACAATACGTGTAATACTGCTTTAAATTGTTGTTGTTTTTCCCCCAAAAATGTCAAATGTTTTCTGTTTAATTGAATTGCAGTTTTGTTTTTGTTTTTCTGAGCAAAAAATAAATATCATACATTTTTCCCTGATTTACAGAAGAGACCCACTAAAATGTCATCCAGGGTAACAATCTTGTCAGGCATATTTACAACAACAAAAAAAATTTATGACATATTAAAAGACTAATTACTTTCACCCCAAATACTAGTTAGTTGTAATTTTAAATGTTTTTTTCATTTTCCTAGGTTTTGCCGATTTGTCAGTAAAAAATTTTACTCATTTAAAACACAATATTTTATATGCTCCCTTATTCTTTTATATATTTTAATATGTACACGTCAGAATAAGCATGCTGTTGAATTTTTACATAAATATTGTGTTACACTGAATTATTTCAACCAAATTTTAACATTTTATCCTCCAAAAACTTATTTGAAACCTTAAAAGTAGACCCTTTACTTACATTTAATGTGCTTTCTATGGACATAAAATCACTTTTTAATGTCTTTGACCCACATACAGGTGCATCTCAATAAATTAGAATGTCGTGGAAAAGTTCATTTATTTCAGTAATTCAACTCAAATTGTGAAACTCGTGTATTAAATAAATGCAATGCACACAGACTGAAGTAGTTTAAGTCTTTGGTTCTTTTAATTGTGATGATTTTGACTCACATTTAACAAAAACCCACCAATTCACTATCTCAACAAATTAGAATATGGTGACATGCCAATCAGCTAATCAACTCAAAACACCTGCAAAGGTTTCCTGAGCCTTCAAAATGGTCTCTCAGTTTGGTTCACTAGGCTACACAATCATGGGGAAGACTGCTGATCTGACAGTTGTCCAGAAGACAATCATTGACACCCTTCACAAGGAGCCACAAACATTCATTGCCAAAGAAGCTGGCTGTTCACAGAGTGCTGTATCCAAGCATGTTAAAAGAAAGTTGAGTGGAAGGAAAAAGTGTGAAAGAAAAAGATGCACAACCAACCGAGAAAACCGCAGCCTTATGAGGATTGTCAAGCAAAATCAATTCAAGAATTTGAGTGAACTTCACAAGGAATGGACTGAGGCTGGGGCCAAGGCATCAAGAGCCACCACACACAGACGTGTCAAGGAATTTGGCTACAGTTGTCGTATTCCTCTTGTTAAGCCACTCCTGAACCACAAACAACGTCAGAGGCGTCTTACCTGGGCTAAGGAGAAGAAGAACTGGACTGTTGCCCAGTGGTCCAAAGTCCTCTTTTCAGATGAGAGCAAGTTTTGTATTTCATTTGGAAACCAAGGTCCTAGAGTCTGGAGGAAGGGTGGAGAAGCTCATAGCCCAAGTTGCTTGAAGTCCAGTGTTAAGTTTCCACAGTCTGTGATGATTTGGGGTGCAATGTCATCTGCTGGTGTTGGTCCATTGTGTTTTTTGAAAACCAACGTCACTGCACCCGTTTACCAAGAAATTTTGGAGCACTTCATGCTTCCTTCTGCTGACCAGCTTTTTGAAGATGCTGATTTCATTTTCCAGCAGGATTTGGCACCTGCCCACACTGCCAAAAGCACCAATACAGGTGCATCTCAATAAATTAGAATGTCGTGGAAAAGTTCATTTATTTCAGTAATTCAACTCAAATTGTGAAACTCGTGTATTAAATAAATGCAATGCACACAGACTGAAGTAGTTTAAGTCTTTGGTTCTTTTAATTGTGATGATTTTGACTCACATTTAACAAAAACCCACCAATTCACTATCTCAACAAATTAGAATATGGTGACATGCCAATCAGCTAATCAACTCAAAACACCTGCAAAGGTTTCCTGAGCGCCTTCAAAATGGTCTCTCAGTTTGGTTCACTAGGCTACACAATCATGGGGAAGACTGCTGATCTGACAGTTGTCTCAGTTTGTCAGTTTGGTTCACTAGGCTACACAATCATGGGGACGACTGCTGATCTGACAGTTGTCCAGAAGACAATCCCTTCACAAGATCTACCTCACTATGTGGGAATATTAGCATAATGCGCCCAAATGTGCACGCAAAGAAAGAAGGCGTGGTTTCAGTAACCGCAGTTAGTGTTGAAGCAGCATGTCAGGGAGACGCTGTGTGTTTCAGTGTGAAAGAGAGCGAGAGTGAGTGAGATCGAGAGTGAGAGAGAGGGGGTCACATCAAAGTGGAGTCAGCTGTCTTAACCGTGGCTTGTGTACTGCAAACACATACCAGCTTCATCACTGTGTCTGTCACGCGACTCTGTTCCCCTTTCGGACTCTGTCTTTACATTTATTTTGAAAGCTGAAGCTCGCGATTATGGTAAGGGGCGTTACATTTCCGACGAGTGCTTGCGGTGTTCAGCCAATCACAATGCACTGGGTCAGCTGGCCAATCAGAGCAGACTGCGCTTGTCGGAAGGAGGGACTTTGTAGAAAACTAAGCGTTTGAGAGAGGCGGGGCATAGAGGACCTACAATAATGTACAGTATTTGAAAAATAATGTGTTTTTTGAACATTAAAGCATGTCAACATATTCTGTTACACCAAATACACAAAATAATGATCTTTAAAAAAAGCATCATATGACATCTTTAAACTGATCAAAATATGTGATGTACTTAATTCAACCCATTAATGTCCCGAAGATTCTGCGGTAGGTGATCCCACCCACCCGACACACAGCTTCTTCAGTCTGCTGCCATCAGGGAGGAGACTGCGGAGTCTCCAGGCCAGGACCAGCAGACTGAAGGACAGCTTCATCCATCAGGCTGTCAGGAAGCTGAACTCCCTCCCGACCTTGCCCCCCCTCCCCACTTTTGCCCCACGCACCACTGAACTCTGACCCTCTGATGGCCTCTCCCACTCCCCCCCTCCCAAATACACACACACACTGTCACTTTAATCAGTCAAAATAAGCTCTTTTGCACTACAAATCATTGTTTTTTGCACTACAATCATTATATCTGCACTGTTGTTTACTTTTACTGGTTTGCACTCTATCTGCCATATGCCTTGTGCTTTATATATATATTTTTCTTACATTTTACCTTATTTGTATATTTGTATAGTTGTATTTTGTATTTTGTATTTAATCTGTACCTATCTGTATTTATGTTATCTGTATGCACCAAGGGTCTGAGAGTAACGAAATTTCAATTCTCTGTGTGTATGTGCTGTACATGTGGAAGAATTGACAATAAAGCTGACTTGACTTGATATTACCTTTCATCGTGTACCTGGACATCTTTGGGCCAGGATCCTGGCATTTCGGTCACAAATCCCATGTCATCGTGGGAGCTGGATGATGATTGGTCAGACAAGCGGGCAGGAAGAAGAGGTGGCCTATCATCTTCAATGATGACAGTGTCGTCCTGGGGCATGTTCACAGTGGGGGACAGCTGGTAGTGACCTGAGACAGAGAGAGCACGTCAACGTTACACTGGAAAACCCACAACTCTTTCTGAAATCGGACAAACTGGCTTTGAATGACCACAAAAAAAGTGACTCAAATCCCTCGGAAAATGTAGACTGTGTACACTCAGATATGACCAAACTGTCCCATATAAACATTTATGTACTGCAAAAGCAACAATTACGTTTGTGTCTGAAATCAAAACACAGGTAGAAAAAAGTAACTTACTGTAAGTCAACAATCCCTAAAACATACACAAAACAGACGGAACGTAAACGAAGATGTTTGAGCAGAACAAAAAGCACATGTTCACAATTAAAATGAGGCATTTCCATCCAAACATGAACTTCTGGAGTTCCGCCGTGTTTTGTTCCAAGTGTATTTATTTCAACTATAAGTCATTTTGCAACTTTAGCAGCTTAAGAGCAATCAAATGTAATTGCTCCTAAACGAAAAAATAACCCTGGCGTCCTCCCAGCAAAAATAATACTGAGATTGAGTTTCAGCACGGCCCAGACAACAAAATACTTGAGCAGAAATAAATGAGTGTTTATGTGTTTCCAGGCATTACGCCGAGCGTGCAGCATCTGAAACTTGCAGCTTTAGCATGTGATAACAATTAATGAACACTTCATGACTGGTTTTATGTTAAACACAGGTCACGTAGGGATTTTATCTGAAAAAATATATATACTGTATATAATAATAATAATTCAGGAGAGGTCAGACTATAAAATAAAATAAATTAAAATAAAATAATTAGGTAAAAATAAAACATAAATAAACTAAAATAAATAAATAAGATCAGTTTAATACAATAACATTTAAAATAAATAAAAACTAAAAGAAAAGTAAATATAAATTAAACTGAACTAAAATAAAATAATAAAATAAAATTGCTGTGTACCATCATGCATGTTTTTATTAAAATAAACTAAAATAATCAAAAACATTAAATATAAATAAACTAAAATAAAAATAATAAAAATAAAAACAAAAAAGAATAAATAATAAATAAATAAGATCAATTTAAAAATATAAAATATAATAAAATATTAACTAAACTTATCTAGTTGTGTATCATCATGCATGTTTTTGAAAGTACAATAACAAAATAAAATTAAATAAAATGGTTTACCTCATTCCGCACCATCACGCATGCTCATCATGCAATTCTTATTTTTGTCTGTCATTAGACATCGTAGCATAGTGGTTAAATATCTAGACTGCTAACTGATAGTTCATAACCTTTTGGGCAGATCACAAAAGCATTGTGTCCTTGTGGAAGTCAACTTTAGATCACTCCACAAGGGCTGTTTCTGTTAATAAGTATATGTCATTTTGGATTAATCATCACCAAAATGACCAATCTGTAATTAGCAGAGTCCATTAGAGAAGCTTTGTCTTGTTAATTTAGTGCACTGGCATCAGAGCGTACATGGTAAAGGCCTCTTGAAATGTGTGAATCCTGAAGAGTAAATGAACGGCATGAATCTTCAGGAGGCGAACAGAACTAAAGTGCTGAACTGTGAGACTCAGCTTAACTTAGACTAATCAGATATTTAACTATCTGCTGCGCTAAACTTTCATCGTTAAATCATCAACATGTACACATGACAAACATTACAAAGCTCAGCTTCAGGAACTTGAGGATGAGCAGCGTTTTCACTTGAGACCAGACATTTAAAGGCCGTTTCCAGCATCGCAGGGGTGAGATATGAAGACCGAGATCAAGAAACTATAAGGAGTTTCATTTGATTTCATCAACACGACTGACGAAACACTTAGAAAATGCAAAGCACTGGTGGCTCTGGAGCTCTCAAGGTCGCCTGGACGTTTATAAGAGGCCTTGATGCTGCAGGCGGTCCGTCCCGGAGGACAGAAGCCCCGCTGGAGATCCACGAGAGATTCATTCATTCATTCATAACGCTGGAGAAGCAGTTACCGAGCGGTTGCATATATACAAATCTTTACATAATATATGAGTGTAGACATCTTAATCTACTTGTAATAATCATTTATTTTATTAATTAATAATCATTATTTTCTAAAACATTTAATATATATATATAAATATATATTTCAATGATTTTTTTTAACAAATATCATAATGTATTAATTATAAATATCAATGTTATTGCTTTTTTCTGCATCTTTCTGCAAGTGCGCCAGTGAAGTTTAATTTGGCAGACAACATTTTCCCAGATACTGTTTTTCTTTTTGTTTTTTTGAGCAATAACACAAAACTAAGTCAAACTACTTTGAAGAAACTTAACTGAGAGTGAATAATTAATATACATATTTCTTACTTCATCATGATATCAGGACCATGATATTGCCCTGACATGTTTCACTTCATGCCTCAAAAATTTAATTTAATTAAAAAATAAAAAATAATAAATAAAAAAAAACAAAAAAAACAATGAATGAATTAATTAATTAATTAATTATTTTTAATGAATGAATGAATGACTTTAGTTATTTAAACTTTAATTCAGAAACTGGAAAAAAAATATGCTGGTCATAGAAGAGTCAAAGATTAATAAACGTAAGTTAAATGCAAAAATTTCCTCTTTTTTTTTTTTCAAATGAATTAAAAAATGATTTACAAATCTGACCCTATAGCATATTAAATTTCCAGAAACTGCCAGTGACCAAAATTAAATCCACATGAAAAAAAGAAATACAACTAAATAAAGATAGGATCCATACACTTAAAAGTGGCAGGCTGTCCATGCAAGGTCATTTTTTGCTCATGCAGAACATGGTTTTAATTGGCTTTACTGCTGAATACAGTCGTATCTTGCATTAAATGAGGCCTTTCCTACAGATTTTTTGACACAAGTGCTGACCTCCTCATACAAGGAGATTTACTCTTGGCTATACTAAATGGCGTAAAGGACACCTATAGAAATAGCCACTGTGACACTGTGAAAAGGTGAAAGTCTTTAACATGGAAGATAAAAACGCTGCGACCACAATTCTGCTGCGGTCGACTAATTGGCTTACCGTTTTATTGAGATTATATCCCCTGTCCACCCACTTACACTCATGATTTCATGGTGAATCATAAAAATCTGCCTAAAAACGGACCTCTTAATTGCAGGACAAGAAAAATATAGCGAAGGCGTACTTGGCTTATCATACATTAGTCTCTGAGAAGAGAACAGGAAATCAGCAGTAGAGGAGTACAGCATTTCTAATGATTTGTGAAGGCACAATGAGGTACCTGCTCAGTAAGCAGTACCAAAAAAGCTCTGCGGGATGTTCTTGAGAGAGTTTTGTTCTGGAGGGAAGGTGTTAGTGACTGACAAATCCTGCTGACATCTTCTCAGCACCTTGTCTAGATCCATTATCCAGAGTGTGGATGAGAGTCGAGGGGCGCGATGTGAAGAGTTGGGTGGGTTAAAAGTAAGACTAATTGTCGCCGTCTTAGTGCTGATGTGGACCCTACGGTGCAAAAAGACCTTTATTACCCACTTAAAGAACCAAAAGAAACACATGGTTCCTCTAGAATCGTTTCATATAACACAACCTAAACAGGATGCATTTTGTCTCAAACTGGATGACCGAGGCAAAAACAAAAGACTGTTGCTTTACCCAAAAGAGCTTTCCTTACCAAACACATCGTGCTTTTGTTTAATCGTGAAGATTGCTTGCATCCCGAGGACATTTGATTCAGGTCATTTGAGGATAAGAATCAAGGCTATCATGTGCGGTCTTTCCCAGACCGTTGGGTCTCATGAAGGAGCCATTTGTGTTTGTAACTGCCTCTTCTGTTTAATCTGCACTGAATTCTGCTTGCAGGGTGCTGGTGGCATGGTGGTGGCCTACTGTTGTTTTCTGTCATGCTGCGATCAAACGACCCCTCGCAGGGTCTCTCTTGCTATAACAAATAGACCCCCATGCTTGTTTGCTGGGCCCTGAATCAAAACATTGTGGGAATGGACTGATTGGCATACAGAGCAGCGTTGGCCCCCCAAATCAGGGTTTGAACAAATAAACTTGAATGAAATCAGTTCCTCGATGGTGCATCCAGAAGGACAGAGGGCAACAAATTTTCAGGATGCAAAGGGGAGCTGACTTTGAAGAATCACTCATCAGGGGACCATAAAAGCTATCCTGCTGCTACTTGTATTTCTTGTACATCAAGTGCAAATAAAGCATAGGGTCAAAACCTTAAAATTAAGCAACTATAAGCTGCAACATACAGTAGGGCTCATTGGAAATATGTGCCTCTAAATAAATTTCTGTAGAACTAAACAAAAACGTACCTATACATACGAATCGCTGCAGTTTCCAGTTGAAATGAATACAAGAGGCAGTAAAACTCCAACAACTTTTATTCCTTTTCACACAAAGTATGATTTGCAGGTACACAGTTTTGATCAATAAAGCCTACTTTTCGCATAATTACTGGAGGAATAATATGTTATGAATTCAGAACAATTTTAACATGCTGCGAGATTTGAAAACTGATACTTTTGAACGTATCGTCACATATACAGCTTCATACTGTAGGCATGAGTTTTCTAATTCAGTAGGTTTGCTCAGTAGCTCACGCGATACGGTGTTGCACTTGAGTGATGAAGAGCTCCGGTATGAACCTCGTTAAACCACGGTTCAACAAAACAGCTCATGTCCGCATAAGGAAGTTAAAATAGCACGGCTGCATCAAGAAATGCGTTTTTATTTAACTTTTGCATTTGTTAACACTATCGGGTAGGTTTAGGATTGGGTTTGGTTTAGGGGATATTTCCAATACGATAGAGCATTACATTTTAGCGACACTCCTCGGATATATGAATTATGAACCACCGCAATACGTACCTGAAGCAATGTAATACAAACACAGCAATACGTGCCTATATCAACGTAACAAAAACGTGTCAGTGTAAAGTATTGAACCCGCGTTTTAGCGCCACACACTGGATGTTTCATTTTGAAACTGGCGTGAAATGTGCAGTAAGGTACGTAATAACGGTGTTGCAGAAATGTATTTAGAGGCACGTATTTCCAATGAGCCTGAGTTTCTAAGCTGCTAATACAAGTAAAATGTAGCTGAAGAAACTGGTTGACCATCATGGTTTTTCTGGTGAAGCTGGTTGAACATGGTGGTCTTGATGGTCGAGCTTGGCACAAAACCAGCATGGCAACATCCAAAACATGACATGTGCCGATTCACCAGAATGGTTTTCAAGATGGTTGAGCTTCATAAGGTCCAAAATGCATCTTTATCCCAAA